ATGGCGGCCCACATGAAAAAATGTGACCAGAAGAAAAATGAATGAAAACTTTAGTTCATAAAGATATTTTGATGAAAATTTTGCGGTAGGAACGAAGCAGGTAACTTGTTTTATTAATTTCATGTGTTGTCACTCATAGTTTAGGGCCGAACTTTTAGGAAACGACGTTTTCTACTTGTCTTCTGTAGTCTGCATTTACAAATTCAATGAGATTAAGAAAAGAAAAATATAAGTCATCCAGGTTTGTTTACAAATAAAGTTCTACTTTCTGTTTGTGTGCGTCTCATTATATATTGACAGAATAATATGAGCTGTCCTCCATCAGGATAAGTTAAAAATTCTAAATAAATGATGAATTACACTTCTTTCAGCTTCAAGAAAAGATTTCTGAATCAAGCTGTCAGCCTACTGTTATAGTTGTAAGATATGATAAAGTTAAAAACAGTTATAGTATTAGTGATATGTTCATGTCGTCAACATTATTGGTAAGTTAACCTCTATTTCTAAATACTATTAAGTGAATGAAATCTGCAAATATTTGTTGAAATGACCGAGGGCTGTAATGGCGCTGTTTTTGACATGTTATGGTGTTGCAGTGTTTTAAATACATTATGGTGTTGCAGTGTTTTTGTCACTGGTATTACCCACTTTTACATGTAAAGTCTCAAAGCCCCTCCCCACCACCTTGTCTTAGTGTTCTAAAATTACTTATATTTCAGGAAATAATTGGAAGAATATATTATACTGAAGAAGAGATGACATGATAAAATGAAATAGGTTTTGAAATTATAATGGTTTTTACCACAGGTATCTATTTTTATTTCCAAATAGAGTTGACACTTCTCAACCAAATTAGAGCCTCCCCCATCCATTGCTTTTTATTGGGAACTGAGAGCGGATGCCTGTGGGGATTGCTGCTGTTAAAGGTTAAGTATAAGTCAAAGATTCTGTCCTGGCTTGTCTCTACATTATCAGGTCAATTCAGTGCTGAAATCTAGGATGTAAAACTCCAAATCATTTCGTTATATTTAATTATTTCATAAATTTTATTTGTGTTATTTCATAGAATATATTTACAGTGCAATGTTCCACAAATACAGCCTGGCTTGAAGCTTATTCATTCATTCATCTTTTCCATATTCTGTCTATCTATCCAGTGGATGAATGAAATGAGAAGTTTGAAATGGACAGGAAGAGGGTATATTTACAATAGAAGAATTTGAGATACACCAGAGTTTTTCCATTCGATTTCCAACAGTTAACATTAATAAAGATAAATACTTGATACCAATCTATTTACTTTGTCTTGAAGATTTGAGTTTGTTTGAATTTTAAAATGGAGTTTCTAGGAATTGAGCTGAATTTTTCTTAGATTCTCACATTTAGAACTGGGTTGTTTTAGATGTAGTTGATGTTTGGATCCTTACAGAAAGCACTGTTCATTGTATTTTTATTTAGATTATCAATGGCTAAAAATTAGAATTTGATATTGGCTGATGGAATTTTGTTCTTGATATTAACATCCAACAAAAGTGTAACCAAATTCTTTATGTTTGATCATTGATCAGTGAAGGGAAGAAATTAGATTCTGGTTGAGATTAAACCAGGCAGGTGTGTGGACTAGGTCTTAGTCTACGATATCTAGGACAGTCTATAAGGATCATATAATAATAAATAATACAGCCCAAAGAGGTATAGGAGCTAAGTCAACAAGCTCCGGGTCTTGGTAACTAGAGATGGTCAATATGACCTCCTGGCCTTGATCTTTGAAGTCAGCTACATCATCTATTACTGGTTAGCAATTGGTTCCACTACCTAGGACGTAGTCCTGAAAGCTGTACACCTCCCTTTAGGTTCTCCTACCTTGGACACAGTCCTGAAAGTTGAGCTGCTTCAAATCCCAGTTGACCGCATTGAATATCCCTCTTTAGACGTGCCTGAAAATCAAAATTATACTCACCATGTTGTTTTTAGGAAGATCTCGTCTTGAATAGACTTGAATATACAACATGGATTATATCTTGAATATCTTCCCTTCTCAAAGAATTGGTTACACTTTAAAAAAATCAATCTTTGGGTAATTTCTGGTTTGTTTTGTCAACCTGAACAGCTGTTTGATACACTACACAGAAGATAATACAAAGTCTTTTTGCTTTCTGAAATTTTAGATAAATCAGTACACTTGATCATCTGGTGTTTACATGTTTCTTTTTGACAGAAATCCTGTCTCAGTTACAGAAACTCTCATTTTAGAATCCAAATTAACTCGTTTCTACAAGACAAAGTAAATATATTGGTATCAAGGATTTATCTTTATCATTGTTGTATGAAGGAACATCTAAGGACTGCTCCTGGTCTGTCACAATTTCTTCTGGTGTAAAGGTACTCCCTTCCTTTCTTATTTTTAACTTCTTACTTCATTCATTCATGGATAGATAGACAGAAGGAAGAAGAGAAATGGATGAATAATCTTATTTTTAACTTCAATTTCAAGATTCAGAGAGTCACTCTTGATACAAACAATATAAAAGTAAGGGTGATGTCCTACAGAATAGATGTAATGATGTTTGAGTTGTGATATTACATGTCTATAGACCAATGGGGTGCAAGATGTCACATAGTCATTCTCTAATTAGTTGCTTAGATCTTAATTCTCTAATCTGTGAATATTTCAGTATATCAACGACGTCACCATGTTAACGGTCATCTACATTCTCAATTTATTGTTTCTCGTCTCATAAAAGCAGACTGACAAAATGATTGAAGTTTTACATCCTACTTTTCTTAAAGGTAGACTTGAGCAGTA